AAAATGTCTTTAATAAATAAATTGTCGGACCTTGTCCATTTCTTAATATATATATATATATATATATATATATACATATTCTAACCATTACACCACGTCGAAGTGTATATATATATATGTGAAAAGTGTATATAAATATAAATGAATATATATATATAATTATTTATATATTATAGACATGGTACTTATTAAGCGCTCAATATCAGAGATAGAGCTAACATATTTGGTTGGATAGATGTGAGTTTGTGACCCTGGGTTTCACGCTTTAGCGATCGTCAGACATATATATATATATATATATACACTTCGACGTGGTGTAATGGTTAGAAAGCTTCTCTTACTACAAGAATTCTCGCTGGGTGCCCCATATTTTCGGCCTTGTGCCATATCTAAGCCGAGCTTAGAAAATCACTGTATACATATATACGCATATATATAGTTATATTCATTTACATACAACCATATATATATATATATATATATATATATATATATATATATATATATACAAGTATAGGATTGGTGTATACGGAATAAATTCCAATAGCCAACAAATACTATTCTTAAAAGAATTCTTGCTTTCTCAGAAGTTTTCTTAATATTTGGGTCTAATTTGTTGAAATAAGACCATGGTGTTTTGCCGAGCACTTTTGGTTATCGTCAACCGTTATGATGGCTGTATGTTTTGGTTCGAAATAGGTTGCTTATTATTTTAATTTTAGAGATAATATTTGGGGTATTTAGACGATGTGGTCGGATTAGTTCATTATTGATAAGGAGGAGGCTAATGTTTATTATATAGATGATTAGAAGTTTAATATGTTTAAGATGTTTCTTCTAGTATTAAATGCTATTTTATTTATGTTGGGTTTTTGGCTTTTAATTAGGATGTCTTCAAGAATTTGTAATCGTTTTTGCAATTGTTTTATAGAGGATTTTGGTGTTGTTAATTAAGGTTTTTTCTTATTTCGGATGATTTGAATGCGTTACTAGTGGTGTCGTGTGTTACAGGATTAATTTTTATGACGCTGGTGTCATTAAGGTGGTATACCACATACCACGAGGGTCTTATTTCAATAACTTAGAGCCAAATATTAATAAAAACTTGCGAGAGGGCAAGAAAAAAAATCATTAATACGGAAAAGTTCCATAGTCTTAACAACATTTGCCTTTTTTTATATTTTATTTTATATATATATATATATATATATATATATATATATATATATACTTAGTTGTATTGATATGAGGTTGTGACCCAGTGTCACAAACTCACTTCAATACAACTATATTAACTCTATTACTGATATTGAGCGCTTTCAATAAGTACCGCGCATATATAATATTTAAATACTATATATATATATATATATATATATATATATATATATATATATATATATATATATATATATATATCATCTTAAGTAATTCGTCGTCTAAAACAATCCTCAACGGGATGCAGAAAGCACTGGGCAGCCGTTTCGTCCTATTTGGGACTCATTAGCAGTGCATATCCACTATCGAGAATCGAACTTCTAATGCTCCCCTTGGGGATAGAAGACGCGGTTCGTGGGGTCACAGACTGGTGGCTTAGGGAAACTCGGATGAGTTACACCACGGAATTTGTGAAATATATATATATATATATATATATTTCAATAAAGGTGCAATTAATTTACAAATTCATGAATTATTCATACAAAAAACAAATACAAAGGTTAATGATTTAATTGGCGAGAAATCTATCGTCGCGAACAATTCAAATAATATACAAAAACCCCGAACCTGTTTATGTCTGTTTATACCTGAGAATGTAATCGATTAAACTAATAAAAAAAAGGAAGGACCCAGGTTCGAATCCTGCTGGAGAACACATATTCTTTGAGAATATTTCTCGAATATTCAAGCCGGTAGATAAAAATAAATAAAGATAGTATTTAATAAATGGAGCATCTACTCAAATATGGGTATTCACTAAAATGATAATATTATATATATATATATATATATATATATATATATATATATATATATATATATATATATATATATATATAGGGAGAGAGAGAGAAAAGACAAGGTAACAAATCCGCTGGTATATAATCCAAGTGGATGCTAGTAATATAAAATATTAAAACTAATCTACAAAAGAGATCAATGTATTTAATAATAAAGAACGCAATATGATTAATAAACAATAAATCCAAAATCAACGCATATGGGGAATAGCCTATTTCGGCAGACGAAGATCTCGGTTGTCTGTCTTTTCAACCCCGGTGTGGACTGAGTTCATTCTATACAGGTACGGCTTGGGGGATGGTGGAGGGGACTTGAAGGCGCTAAATAGAATTTAACTTTGTGAAATTTAATTGTTTCAGTCAGACGAAAGGCACAAGGCAGCGGTCAGGGAAGGGTGGAATGTATTTGTCTTTATATTAGATTTTAATATCTACATTTCGCCATTAAATAACCCATAGGGATGTTGATATGCCTCTAAACAAAATCACCCTATTATATATATATATATATATATATATATATATATATATATATATATATATATATATATATAAAACTAAATATTTGTAAGAAGAGAATATAAAAAAGATAAAAGGAAAACTACTATTTACCAATACGTTTCCTCCATTACGCAACATATAAATCAATTGTCTAAATCAATTTCTAAAAAGATGATGGATTTTTGTTTAATAATCTCATGTTATTTGAGTAGACGCTCCGTTTATTTATAAAACAGTATATCTGTACTATTTATTATTATTCATTTATATACTTGGCCCAGTGTTTAGAACGTTCGTTTTCTGACCATGAGGCCCGGGTTCGAATCTTACTAAGGTCGATTTGTCAGGAGCTTCTTAATTTATCAGCGTTGGAAATATAAAAACCTTTCGAGTGAAACTGGTTTGACAGCAACCCTTGAGCCAACCAATGGGTTTGAGCGTTCTGGCCTTGATCACGCTAGATAACGCATACTCTCCCAAAAACTAAGGTCCGTTCAGCATAGTTGCAGTATAAACCACAGATTTATACTGTGGTTGAACAAACACAAGTGTGCCTGGGAAACAGGGATTAACTAGCCGCCCTAGTAGAAAGGCTTTCTCGGATACGAGTGGTTTCGCTATTTATATTCTTCTGAAATCGCTTTGTTTACGTTAGGAGACGAAACTGCGCAGATATGAGTATTTCGAGAGTTACTGCGCAGATATGAGTATTTCGAGAGTTCGGGGAAATATTAATGTTTAAAGGCGCTTGATCATCTAAAGCACATCGGATCTAGCGACGGTTTCCTCCTACCTAGGGAATCGCAGATTCGAATCCTGCCGGCGAGCGCATATTTTTCTTTAATAAGATTTCTCGAATATTTTGGCCGGTAGCCAAAAATAAGTAAATCTACTGTTTAATAAATAAACGAAGCGTCTACTCAAATTTGGATATCTACTAAAAACAACGTTTAAGTAATAAAGAAAAGATCTTTATAAATGCATGTTACAAAATAGAATGCTTACGTTTGCCTTGATAAAGTTCATTAGAGGAGGAAACGCGTTGGTGAAGAATAGTTTTCCTTTGGTCTTTATTCATATACATATTCATATAATATATATATATATATATATATATATATATATATATAAAGAGAGAGAGAGGGAGAGGGATAGATAGATAGATAGATAGATAGATAGATAGATAGAAGCGTGAATATAAACTAAATACGAGATATTAGCAACTGTATATGTCTGTGATAGCGTGCATACGTAGAGAAACCAATAAATATTTATTTTAATTAATTTATGGCTCAAACAAAAAAGTGTTCAATGTAGTTAAACAGAGCTATGAGGCATATGTAAATAAATACACATATACCTACGTTTGTAGTGTAACTTAAAGTTTCATGGATTCCCAAGTCGTCAGGTACATATGGCAAATGATCCGCTTATTACAGATATTTTTTTTTAAATACGGGGAACGTTAAATTATACGCAGATTCAAAGCACAAAGTTAATATAAACCTAATATACTATTGGGCTATAAATTCAAACTATAGAGTGTATGGAAGGAGATAATGGTAAAAACAAAGCAAAAAATAAATAAAAGAATGATGCAAGCTTAAGGTTTATATGCCACATTTTTTTTCTGTTTTGGGAAGATACGTAAGTTATAAAATGATAAAGCGTACGGAGCAAGCAATATGAATAAAAAGGCAAGGGTAGACGCATTGGATTGTGTATTGTTTATAAATAATCTCTATGTTTCAAGAAAATAAGACTGCACAGGAGATAACGTTTAATAATATTAGAATATAAATTAAAAGCATAAAAAGTGTAGATAGACAGAGAAGGCAAAAGGTGAGAAAAAAACTTACAGGAGCACAGTGTAATTTAATACTAAATAAAAGCATCTGAGAAACCTTTCGGCCAAGCCTTCTTCAGAGATAAATCATTGTCGAAAACAATTACTTTTAATTAATACTAAACATAAAATCGAAAACATACATACACACACACACACACACACACACACACACACACACATATATATATATATATATATATATATATATATATATATATGTATATGATAGCAATTAGAGACCCAAATATAGGACGAAACGGCGGCCGTCAGTACTTTCTGCATTCCGTTGAGGTTTCTTTCAGACTCGATATATATATATATATATATATATATATATATATATATATATATATATATATATATATATATATGCATCTCCACCAGTAGCATGACTCAGGTTGCGGGTTTATATATTATTTTATTAACACCAGCACTCAACTATATATATATATATATATATATATATATATATATATATGTGTGTGTGTGTGTGTGTGTGTGTTTGTGTGTGTGAAATATAGCTTTAAAGGTGTGCTACATTTATGGAACAAAGCGCTCAGTATCAGGCCTGACGATTGCGTCTGGCATGAAACAGTTTGTCGCCCCTGAGTGTTGACTTCAATATTCACTTTTAAATATATATATATATATATATAGAGAGAGAGAGATAGATAGATGAATAGATAGATAGATAGATAGATAGATAGATAGATAGATAGAAAAAACAACTAAAATTTGTAAATTAAAAAATTATAATGTTTTTTTATGAAAGTATTTATTTATATTTGATATTTCAGATCGACCTTGATCTTTCTTCAGAAATAACTGTTTTTAGAGGTTTAGAGAAAGATCGAGGTCGATCTGAAATATCAAATATAAATAAATACATTCATAAAAAACATTATTATCTTTTTAATTTACAACTTTTTAGTTGTTTTTTCTATATATACATATTAAGAAAGTATAAGTGGCTTCTCATTATGCTATATATATATATGTATATTTATGTAAATTCTTTTCATAACGTCCGATAAGCTTAATAACATTATCATTAAACGAAGAAAGAAAATCACAATATCGATCCATATTTTTTTTAATCCAATCTAATCTTTCGGCTTACATAATATATATATATATATATATATATATATATATATATATATATATATATATATAATGGAAGTGTGTGAGGTAGAAGATTAAATATTAAAACAGGAAAGAAACGAGCAAAATAAGTTTGCATTTTGGCTCCATTGACTTATGCTAACTTCGTACCGCTTTTGAAAGGCATGAATCCATGTAAAATGTTGACTATTTTCAATCTTTTTATTTGGACCCTCTGACTACTTTAATTAATAACCAACATTCACACTTATGATAAATATTGCAATATTTTGTTTATATTGTTCAACTATGATATTTAACGATGGGACAGGGTGATTTCCACGGATATTTTAAAGACTTGGATCTTACACGGACTTTGTCCAATCTTAAGACTTATGATTCATCAGAAAATTCGAATGGAATAAGTGTGAAATTTTAACGGGCATTGTTAGTCAAAACAAAAAATGATGTGTCCTAGATAAGACGATTAACTACATCCGCGTCCCGGGTAAGGCGATAAACTACATCCGCGTCCCGGGTAAGGCGATAAACTACATCCGCGTCCTGGGTATGACGATAAATTACGTCCGTGTCCTTGGTAAGACGATAAACTACATCCACGTCCTGGGTATGACGATAAACTACATCCGCGTTCCGGGTAAGACGATAAACTACGTTCAACAGCAAAACCCTTGATCAGGAGTTTTTGAGGAGCGTGGAACCACCTCTTAATTGGTGTTCCCAGGACCACCAAGAACCGGGGTGGTAACACCTGTTAGGGTCCCAACTATGAGCAAATAGTTAACCCCCAAAATAGGGTCAAAACATTATGAAAGTGTAAAAAATAAAAAATTAAAAATTAAAAAATATTTTAATACCAACAATAAATTTTTTGAGGAAAAATTATTACCAGCAATACATTTTTTGAAGGAGAAAATATTACCGGCAATACATTTTTGTAAATAATTATTACCAACAATGCCTTTTTGAAAAAAAAATATTACCAGCAATACATTTTTACCAGCAATACATTTTTGAAGAAAAAATATTACCAGCAATACATTTTTGAAGAAAAAAATATTACCAGCAATACACTTTTGAATGAAAAAAATATTACCAGCAATACATTTTAGAAGGAAAAAATATTACCAGCGATACATTTTAGAAGGAAAAAATATTACCAGCAATAAAAGTCTTGTCAGCATTTAATAACTCGTTGAGGTTGATATGCCGTAAAACAAACCAAACCAAACCCCAAAACTATAAAAACCTAAATGAAACGTTAAAATTAACGTTTATATGTAAAGGTGTATAATACTATTTTCCCGCCTAACTCATTTTTGTACGATTAAAATGCAAGAATTTGTGTATTTATCTAGGCAGATGTAGGAAAGTAACTGATTGCTGCAGATATTGATGGCTGTTTTTTTTTTTTTGCAACCCTTTTAGACGCCTCCCAAAATATCTATTTTTACCAAATGTCGAGAGTCATAGCAATCCTGACAAGCGACCACACCGCTTTCTTCCGGATGCCTCTGCTGCCGCCAGTATGGACACTGTCAACCCAACCTGATCCCCAAATTGGTGTCGCGTTTTAGGGTTGATGTAGCTTGGCTGTCGTGATCAAACTTGGATTCAGGCCATGTTTTTTATTTCTTTTCTTTTTTTTTTCTTCTTATTTCTTGTATTCAGATTGAGAAACCTTTAATAAGCACAAAGCAGCGACGTGTCAGGCGCTCCTGTAAATGTGGCCACTATTTTTAGCGACCTTTTTAACAACACTTACGGCGAAGAAAAGGATACAAGAAAGACTGGCGGAGGAGGTCTGGGTTATCGACGGTAATGGTGTCGTTGTCTTTCATGATCTTCTGAATATGTGAATATATATATATATATATATATATATATATATATATATATATATATATATATATATACAAATAATATAGAATTAATCGTATATACGATTATTGGCGACATCCGTCGCTAGAAAACATAATATATGCATTAAAATCCTGTTCATCCAGAGTGCGAGTTTACAGATATATCGTCTCAAGTTTTTGATTTTATAAGAAAAAAAACACATGCCTGATGATGGATGGAAGACCGTCTGTAACATTATTTAACATCAAATAAACTGAAATACTACAGACAACAAGTTTTTCTTCAAGGATCAAAACTCGCACTCTGGATGAACAGGATTTTAATGCATATATTATTTTCTAGCGATGGATGTCGCTCAATAATCGCATTAATACTTCTGATTAATTCTATGTGTGATTATTCTTTGTATGTTCATATGCTGCCTAATGTTTTATGTTTATATATATATATATATATATATATATATATATATATATATATATATATAATAAGCAGGCCGATATGTTGTGAGGAGTATATAAGCAATAAAGAAGGCTTGTCAAATTTGACACTCACAGGTCATATTGAAAGCAAAAAAAGACAAAATAGAAAACAGAACTTGAACTACCTAACGAGCTTTTGGAAATGGTTGATAGAACAGGGTTTTAAGATAACATTTGCTCCGTTCTGGGTATGACGATAAACTACATCCTCCTCCTGGGTAACATGATAAACTACGTCCAACATCAAGGCCTCTGATCAGAAGGTTTTAGAACCACCTCTTAGTTGGTGTTGTTCTTAGGTTCACCCTGACCCGGGGTGGTAGCACCTGTTAGGGTCCCAGCTATGGCCAAATTGTTAATCCCCAAATTGGGATCAAAAATCTATGTGAGTGTAACAATAGGTTTTAATACCAGCAATACTTTTTTCGGAAAAAATATTACCTGCAATAGATTTTTGAAAAAGAAAATATTTTTTGGAAAAAAAATATCACCAGCAATACATTTTTGAAAAAAGAAAAAATATTACCAACAATAAATTAAAAAAAAAAAATTACCATCAATATATTTCTTTTAAAAAATATTACCAACAATGAATTTTTGGAAAGAAAATCTTACCAGCAATAAAAATCTTGTTGGCATTAAATAACCCATTGAGGTCGATATGACGTAAACCAAACCAAACCAAACCAAACCAATATATACTTAGATAGATAGATAGATAGATAGATAGATAGATAGATAGATAGATAGATAGATAGATAAAAAAATATTACCAGCAATATATTTTTCAAGGAAAAAAATATTACCAGCAATAAAAATCTTGTCGGCTTTAAATAACCCATTGAGGTCGATATGCCGTAAAACAAAACTAACCAAACCAAACCAAACCAATAGATAGATTGATAGAAAATATAGATAGATAGATAGATAGATAGATAGATAGATAGATAGATAGATAGATAGATAGATAAAAAATATTACCAGCAATATATTTTTCAAGGAAAAAAATATTACCAGCAATAAAAATCTTGTCGGCCTCAAATAACCCATTGAGGTCGATATGCCATAAACCAAGACAAACCAAACAAAAACAAATATTGACTAAGGGCTACAAAGGACATGAAACTGTGAAGAACTATGATCGCCAGTATCCTGAAAGAGGGCAAATCGAAGAACATATGTCTGTCTATAGATATCTTCAAATATTTCCACATATCGCTTTTTATTAATACATTAGCATTGAACCAATGTCGGATATTTAAACCATAAATAATTAAAACAAAGAAAAAAAATGAGTTGAAAATATTTTGTAATTTCTATAACGACCCGGCTAAAATTAACAGCAATATTCTAAGCGTTACTGCGCTTGTGTAAATTTCGTTTTTGTGACATAAAATTATATACAGATGGCGTCAAATCAAAGTTACCCAAAATTGTCTTTCTTTTCGTTCTCTGAGTCGCACCAGAAGGTTTTTCTCCCCTGAGTCCAGTCATCAAATCTACAAATCTACCATTCTTCCTTGCATGGAATACTGCTGCCATATATGGTCTAGTCCCCCCCCCCCGCTGTACATCCTCAACAAAATCTAAAGACGGATATGCAATGTGATAGGTCTTGATCTGGCATCTCGAAATGAATTTAGTTACAAAATATTTAAATTTCGAAATTAAATAAAACATAGAGGTTGATATGCCGCTAATTAAAATCAATCAATATTGGTTTCTTTTTTCTTTAATCCTTAATCTTCTCACATCTATCTATCTATCTATCTATCTATCTATCTATCTATCTATCTATCTATCTATCTATCTATCTCGCTCTTTTCATTATCTATCTATCTATCTATCTATCTATCTCGGTCTGTTCATTATCTATCTATCTATCTATCTATCTATCTATCTATCTATCTATCTCGTTCTTTTCATTATCTATCTATCTATCTATCTATCTATCTATCTATCTATCTATCTCGGTCTGTTCATTATCTATCTATCTATCTATCTATCTATCTATCTATTTATCTATCTATCTATCTTGCTCTGTTAATTATCTATCTCGTTCTTTTCATTATCTATCTATCTATCTATCTATCTATCTATCTATCTATCTCAGGTGTTAAAACAAGAACCCTTAAAATAGTACCCATTCCTTATTCAAATTCTTCCATAATTCTTAAGAAATCCTGCAATTCCTAGATATTACATTTATCTTGTCGTTACTATCCGCCTCGTCAATAAACCGGTGTATATTTCGACATATATACCTACCCACACTCATACCGGCATATATTCAAACGCAAATAAACAAAGAAAATGATCTTTTCAAACAAGCATTCAACTGGGTAGCTGAATTGAAAAAGGGGAGATTACTTTAAGAAACACGCACAAAATGAGATAGATAGATAGATAGATAGATAGATAGATAGATAGATAGATAGATAGACTGAGATAAATAGATAGCTATAAACAGACTAAGATAGATAGATAGATATGAACAGACTGAGATAAATAGATAAATATGAACAGACTAAGATAGATACATAGATAGATAGATAGATAGATAGATAGATAGATAGATAGATAATAAACACGCCGACATAGATTCACATATGACATGTAAGCAAAATGGCGGTCATTTCCGGAAAGAAATTAAACCTAAATACAATTTACTACTGAAATGGAAAATGTTAAATAAAATACAAAGTTTCTGTCTATGGCTCTGAGATTGGGTATTATGATTACTAGAATGATTTACATTATTCGGACTGTTATCTTCATTGCCATGTTCACAACGTTTCGGCCGTTGTAATCTCCGGCCTTCTTCTGATGATTGGATCACTGAGATGAGGTATTATGATTACTTACATTATTTACATTATTCGGACTGTTATCCTCATCTTCATTGCCATATTCCAAACGTTTCGGCCCAGTGGATAAAGACGTTGGTTAGATCCAGTGATTAGACCCAAAGTGTTCTGAGTTCAATACCAGGCCACAGTAGTGGTGAATCGAATCATGGAGAGGTGAGTTAAAGGGAAATAACCGAGACACCTGGAAGAGGCATGGCATGTAGAATTAGAACAATCTACCCCAGTGGACAAAATAAAGGGTTTCGTTCGAAATTCCAATCACCTGAAGTAGGCCGGAGCGTGCAACGGCGGAAACGTTGAGAATATGACAATGAAGATGAGGATAACAGTCCGAATAATGTAAATAAATTACAAGGCTGTACAAATAGATCATACAATGAAATATGAATTTATAGCTAAGCAAAATTCATATAAAGGTTAAATCAAATTGGCATTCAACTCCCCATCGAAAGAACATTTCTAAATTTACGTTTAAATTCTGTATAAGAAAAAGTTACTTCGATGAACTTGCAGAAACAAAACCATTTTGTCTGTAAATAGTTCAGTGTACGACCAAATCACGTTTCTTAATTAATGCGATTCGATTTAAATCTTGCGTACGACACATTAATTCTTATCTCTTCTTTACTCCAAGAATTTAAATTTCGGGAGTTTTCAGATAATCGGTTTCAGATAAGTAATGAGAATATTTTCTGAATTTAAAAGGATATAAACTGAATAGGCGAACGTATCATAAAAATGCGATTGGTTAAATAACAAACTCTCAACATATATATATATATATATATATATATATATATATATATATATATATATATATCAGGCGGTGATCACAAGCTTCATTTCTCAAATTCTGTGCAATTTGGATGGGTGGAAAGTTTGAGCACCTGAATAATATGTCACTGATTTAACTACCCCCTGAATATATATATATATATATATATATATATATATATATATATATATATATATATATATATATATACATAGATAGATAGATAGATAGAGATAGATAGATAGATAGATAGATAGATAGATATGAGCAAACATAAATAGTCAGATAAACAATGAAGAGACTGGTCTAGATAGATTGATAAATAGATAAGTAGACAGAGAGATATGTGCGTATGTGAGTGTATAATCCCTCTGGCGTGTATATATATATATATATATATATATATATATATATATATATATATATATATATATATGTGTGTGTGTATACATGCATATATATACATGTACACAAATATAGAGGCAGAGTGGAAGAGAGAGATGGAGAAAGAGCGTGTGTGTATATGTTTGTGTGCGCCTCATATGGCTCATTCTGATAGAAATTGTCTATATTATTTAACAAATTTTGTATGAGAGAATTCTATCTCTTGAAATCCACCACAAAATATATATATATATATATATATATATATATATATATATATATATATATGTGTGTGTGTGTGTGTGTGTGTGTGTGTGTGTTTGTGTGTGAGTGTTTGTGCGTGTGGGTGTGTGCGGGTGTGTGTGTGCAATTTTAGCACAAGCCCCGCCACATTTTTGCTTACTGATTTGTCATTGATGACATTTGCAAATAAAATATTATTCTAGTCGTAATATGAGAATTATTTC